GCTCCCCTGTTCCCACCAAGTCCCTTCACTCCCAACATGCAGTTTCCTGCCCCCCACCCCCTCCCTCAGCCCTCCAGCTACCAGGACTATAGGACCTGGCGGCTGCATCCTACTCACTTTCTGTTCCATGGACACCTGCCACAGCCAGCCAACAGTGCTTGAGTCCTGGATGCTGAGTTCAGGAGGTGACAGCTGCTGAAGCTGGGCCCGGCCCCTTACATTCCCCCCCCCCTCCCCTCCTTCCCCCAAGCTGTGTAGGTGGCATAGCTGGAGCAGAGCTGAGTGGAGTCTGTGGGTTATGGGGAGAGGATGTGGACAGCCCACTGAGGGGCTTGGGCCCCTTGTGCTGCTGCCTTCCAGCTGGGGGGCCTTTGCAGCCCTGTGGGTGGGACCCAGTGTGGGAGGGCAGAGCAAGGTGGAGAGACTCAGTGCTGCTGCCACCACCAGGAGCCCTGCACCAGCCATGCTGCCAATCTGAAGTGCCCCCTGCCCCCACCCAGCAGCAGTGCGGGGGGGAGAGGTTGCAGTGGTGTGGAGCTGTGCCCCTGCTGCTGTCGGGTGGGCAGGGGGTCTTCACCTTGGAGGCATGGCTGACGCAGGGCTTGTGGTGGTGGCAGTAGCACCGAATCTCCCCTCCTGTGCTGGGTTCTGCCTGCTGGGCGATGGAGGTCCCTGGGGCAAGGGCACCAGGCTGCAGTCCTGTGCCCCACTGTGGGCTCACAAATCTGGGGCGGGGGGCACATGCCACCCCCAACACCCCACAACATATCACCTCTGGTACCCAAACCCCCCCGGGAGTGTGCACAGTGATGGGGAGCTGCCCCCCTCCCATTCTTTTGGATGGCTCTGTCCCACTCCCCAGCCCAGTCCTGCAGCTATTCCTGCCCCGGCTGGGCAATGCCGCCGTGCCCCCCCGGCCCTGCTGCCATCCCCGTCCCATAATCATGACAGGGTTGTTTGCTGATGTGGCATCATGTCAGATTAAGTGTTGTAAAGTCGAAACTGACGTCAGAAAGTTGAAACGGTGTCAATTTATAAATGTAAGTGTGAAACGTTGTACAGGCGCCTAGTCCTCGACTTACAATGTTTCAAGTTACAACATTTTGCACTTACAGCATTTATAAATTGACACCCTGTTTCAACTTTCTGACATCCATTTGCTGATGTGGCATCATGTCAGATTAAGTGTTGTAAAGTCGAAACTGACGTCAGAAAGTTGAAACGGTGTCAATTTATAAATGTAAGTGTGAAACGTTGTACAGGCGCCTAGTCCTCGACTTACAATGTTTCAAGTTACAACATTTTGCACTTACAGCATTTATAAATTGACACCCTGTTTCAACTTTCTGACATCCATTTTGACTTTACAACGCTTGATCCGATGTGACGCCATGCCAGCGAACAAGTTCATGGTGTCACCCATCTCCCTGGAGAACATCTGTCAAAACTTGCTTGGACACTTTCTTGAAGAAAGCAGACAAGACTCCAGAAAAACCTGCAACCAAGACTCCTCCTGAGAAGACTTGAGCCAAGAACCCTTCAAAAAGTCCAACCAAGAGCCCTTCCAAAAGTCCAGCAAAGTCACCTCAAGGAAGTCCTTCCAAATCAATATGATTGCTATTTACAATATAAATACATTAATATGGCTATATTGTGCTTCTATAAATTGATCGAGTACAAAATTCTGGGGTATTTTTAGTGAAAATAGGGTATTGGGCCCTTGGTTCAGGAACCAATCCCCCATTTATAACATTGTTTCTTATATTGGTTCCAAGTTACAATGTTTCTACTTACCACATGGTTTTCAGGAAACAATTGTGTCGTAAGTCCGAGGACTGCCTGTTGTCACAACCCAAAGTTGTGATTTGTTGTTTTTGTGTGCTTCGGAACCGCTAAATTATGTTCCCGCCAAATTGCAGCTTCTTTGCACAGTGGAGTTTTCTGCTGCAATAGGAGAACCCGCGTGCAAAAGAGTATTTCCCGCCGTTTGTAGCCTTCTTTGCAGGGTGCATTTCTTTTGCATCATAGTGATGCACGGTGCAAAGCAGTTCCCGCCATTTGTATTTAGATTTGTGCCACATTATTGGCCGGTTCTAAATGTAGGCATACGTGGCGGCTAGCTGTTGGCTTGCTAGCCGTACAAAAGGCTTGGGTAGTTTCCGCCCAAGTCGGAGAGAGAGGAAACCTGGAGAGATACAGAACTCGACAGGAGGAGGAGACTTCTCGCTGTGTGAAGATCTCCAAGCGATGTGGACCCTTGCGGACCCAACGCACCTTTCTTAAGCAGGCAACGGAGGTCTGTTTAGCTTCTAGCCTCTCCCCGTCACCGAGCACAATCCTAGACGTATCCCTATCCTATATACCCAATTTTCGAACCCACGGAGTCTTAACAGCTCCGGGGGACCTGGGAACCGAACAGAACCCACGGAGATTCAGCCACTCTGTGAGGAAAGAACTGCCGAACCCACGGAGCCTAAACCACTCCGGGGTCAAAGAACCGAGTTTGTCAGAGTCCTCCAACGAGGATTCAAACGGAGCTGAGCCTGGAAAGCTGTCCAGCCTACACCGCGACCACCTTGGGTGTAAGTAAATAATCTTTTCAATCAACCATTACGCCTCCATAACTGATTCTAGCTCGCACGTACCTTACCGCCCCGTGGTTTTCTCCGGCCCCGCGTGCCCGGGCTGCTGGCCACAGTCCGCGTGCACAAAGACGGGCCCGGCTCGCACATGGCGAGGATGGGATCAGGAGCCGGCCCGCACACCTGTAACTCAAAATGTTGTAAGTTGAGGACTGCCTGTTAAAGTTGTGACAGATGCAGGCTGTCAGCTTCTAAGCTTCTGGTCCCCCAACCCCAGCTGTGGGCTCCTTTGCTGTATCAAATGATGTGGATGCTCGGGCTCCCAACCCCCAACATGCTGGCTTGCAAGCTCCCTTGGCCCTGCCACAGCATCCCTTTGGATGGGGACAAGAAGCAGAAGCTGGAGGAGGGAAGGTGAACATGGAACCCTTGAGCAATGGGTGAAGTGACCAGCTGCATAACATGAGAAAAATGCTGTTGGGGAAATCCTCTCTCACCCTGTCCCTGCTTCCATCCACCCCACCAGTACCTTCTGATTTCTTCACAGGATGAGCAACAAGCAGCAGCAGGGCAGTATGTCATGAAGTGCAAGGTGTTCTAGGAATTGTAGTTCTCTAGAGTGGCAGAGTGTTCACTCCATATTTTGCTGTCAAAGCCCATATGGAGAGGGGAGAGAAAAATGCTGATTTTGGTGGCAAATACTGGGGTCAGTTCCATCCTCCCGGCGCACCCTCTTGCTGGCAGCAGTGAATTTTATAAAACTGACTTCTAGAATGCCTTGCTCTCTGTGACAGCCAAAACTTTTGGGCTAGAGATGATATCTTTTATTAGAGCAACTAAATAGTAGCAAAAAAAAATCTTTCTTTGCATGCTTTTGAGTCCAAACACTCTTTGCCAGGCTGAGGAGGATTCAAAGATTGTAAAGATTCTCCCAAATAGGTGCACACTGCCTGCTGTGTTGCTTCCTGCAGCCAGATGGTACTGGCAGAGCCAGGGACAGAAGGGTGAGGAGGAGCTTCCCCCCAATCTTTCTGGCACTTCTCCCCCAGGCAGTGCTCAGGACACAGGTCCTGGTTGCCCACCCCATGTTGCACTATTGGGAGTGGCTGTCGGGTAGGGGAAGAGGGTCACAAGTTAACCCCATGCAGAAGCTACCAGTAGGACAGCCACGACAAACTGTCAAGCAGTGTTAATGCATGTAATCAACTAACAATGTATTCCTAGAAGTTGGATGAGATTTGTTTGTTTAATCTCTCTTCCGTTCCTCCTGACTTGTTTCCAGAGCAGAATGGTCTGAAGATCACAGAAATTTAAGTGACAGTATTGTGGACTTGGGGCAGTTCATAGAACACGCATTAAGTGTCTTGTGACATGTACAGAAATTGCCTGTAGTAGATTTAAAAAAATATTTAACTACATGTATTTCAAACAATGTAGCGATGAGAAAAATAGTGAATTGCTCTAGAAATGATTTGGGAAACTTTTCTTTTTCACCTACTCTTCTATTTGAAAACAGTAAATTAAAATGTGGTGCATAGAATCTGATTCTATGCAAGATCTTACATAATCTTACAGTTAATAATATCATTTTTTCTTGCATACAGCATGTCCTGTATATAATATGCACCTTGGTTTTTGAAGGGTAGTTGGGGTGGGGGGGAATCTGTGGTAACTGAGTAGCAGCACCTAGAGAGCAGAGCTTGCTTCTAAGTCTGCTGCCAGCCCCATGCTCTAGATTGGGTGGCACGCTGGGTCTGTCCGCAGATGGGCTCTATGCACTAGCCTGATCGGGCACATGAGGCCATATGATCTGGCCAGCAGGGCCTCCCTATGGGTCTAGAAATTTGACTGTGGAGAGCTCAGAGCTCTTAGAGCCATAACAATTAACACTGCTACTGCTTCCCCAGTGGCAAATTTCTGGACCTATAGGGTTGCCTATTTCCTGCATATAATGTGCACCCCAACTTCCTTCTGCTGATTGGGGGCGGGGGAAGAAGTGCATGTTATATGCAAGAGCATATGGTAATCTGATAACTTGTATTTCATCAGGACATATTTTTTTATGAATGTAAAGTTTTTGGAGGAAAGGCAGATGATGATATACAACTTGTCTAAATTTTGAAGCCACCTGAGAAGTGAATTGCAGAAAAAAGTTCTTTGTGCTGCTTGTGTATATATGTAAAACTGTATATCGGGGATAATTTTTTGGCTCTCTCTCAATACAGTGTTCTGTGTGACTTTTCTAAGAAGCAGGGTGATTGAGAAATAACTGGAAGTAGTTTTTCTATTAGATTTTTCTTTCGTCATAGGGTTGAGGCTTAAATAGCTGCTTTTTTCTCAGTATGAGTGTGTAGGAGGAAGTGACTGGGAAAGACAGCATGTCTTTTTAGAGTTAGGTGCAGATGGAAAACTTTTGCTTAGTTTTTCCTCATTCTGCAGGGTTACACATCCTTCTGGAATGATTGCATCTCCTCTGGGTTGCGTGGCTGTATGTTAATTGAACTGGCATTGAGAGGGCGACTTCAGCTGGAGGCATGTGGAATGAGGCGCAAAAGTTTATTAACAAGAAAGGTAAGAAGAAAACAAATCAGTGTTTATTTTTATGTACTCTTCTAAGTGATAGACTAAATGTAAATTGCCCTGTGAAGAAAATATTCTTAATTTGCACTGAGAGAGTACCAAATAATCAAAACCTCAGTGTGGTATATACAGTACAGTATATACTGTGTATATATAAGCACTGTACAATATACTTTATATGCTCCAGGGTACAGTTCTTGGTCTAAAGAACTGACTTTTACAGTTTAAAAAGAAAAGCAAGTCATAGCCTCAGAGAACATAAATACCACATTTGCTTGAATCTAAGACAAAGCTTTTTTCTCTAATCAGCTGGGGGGGGCATGGGGAAACCCCTTACCTTAGATTTGCATGCAAAGTCGGAAGGGAGGGAAGCAACTGGCTGCTGCAGCTCTGACTCTGGCCCTGAGTCTAGTTTGGGACCAGAGTCAGACCCAGAGCACCCTCCTGCCCCACCTCTGTTTGCCCTCTGTAGCTTCTGCCATCCCCCTTTTACTATGTGGTCTATCTTGGCTCCAGCTACAGCTGCGTTCCCTCCCAGGCACAGAGTACATGAAAACTCTGTCCCCTGCCTGGTCAGTCAGCATCACCGACATTGCTGCATGGTCCAGGACTGACAATGGCTAAGCTTCCACATGCTGTGCTCTGGGAGGGATCAGAGCCCCAGCAGTGTCTGGCAGTAAGCAGGAAGGAGGGTGAGTGAAAGAGGCAGAGACTGGGTGGGGTGGGAGTTGGGGGATGGGAGGGGAAGAGGCTTTGGGGACCTGGGGGGTGCTAGTGAAGGTGGGGCAGGAAGGCTGCAGGGGAAAGAAGTGGCAGGAGCACATGGCAAGGGGGCCACCTGAACCACCTACCCCCTAGCCACTGCTTTCCCTGCTGTAGCAGGGGGAGAGAGAAGAATTTAGGGGGCCCCCCTGATAATTAGATTCTATACCTGGAAAATTATAACATTTATAAATTTTCAATGTATAGAATCTACTTTTGGGGAGTCATCTAAATTCAGGGTTGACTTTGATTCAGGTAAATGTGGTACACGCTTACCTTTAATCACGTGACCAGTCTCATTTAAGTCAGTAAATTCAGCGCTCAGTCTCAGGCATTTCCTTATGTACTTTGTTGAATTGGGACCCTCATTAGGCTGCAAATCTGAGTTAGCTTTTACTTGCTTTTGCACCTAGATTTTGCAGGCTTTATGGTAAGTCATGTCTCCCTGTTTGGGGATTATTACTCACAGTATGCTAATGGGTACTTCTAAAATCAGGATATTGGGGTTGAACAGGTAAAATATTGCCTTTTGCCACAAAATTAATTTACTTTTCTGCCTAGACTTCCCTGTCAATATTATATTTTTACGCAACTTTTTTGAAACTTTTCCAAATCTCTTCCAGCCTTCTTCATTTCTGAAGAATTGGACTTCTGTTCATGCTGGCAGCTCTTGCTTCTATTATTCTGGTTCAGCTGTATTCAGCTTTAATTTGCACAGAATCTGACCTCCTTTCCAACTTTAGAGTCCTCTGGCTTGTCAGATGTTCAAGAATGTTTCTTAAAGGCTGTATTTGTTCCATATGATCAATATGTCTAGTTTTTTCTTCTTTCTAAGAGTCTAACTCTGCTTTTTGAATAAGATTCTAAGGATTTGTTTTTTAGAAAACTAGTCTGTGCACACATGCAGTAAAGAATAAAAGCCAAATAATCACCTTGCATTTAATTTGTAGCGTTTAAAATGAAAAAAACTCCAAAAGACTCCAAGAACTTGATGTTAAATATCTAATTTTGAAACATCCACTGTTTTTTCCCCCCGTCCCTGCCACAGGTGTTTATATTGGAATTGAAAGAATTGTTTTTATTTATTTTATATTTGTCTTTCCTATACAAGGACATAAATAGAATGCATCAAAAGTTTAACCTGTGTTTGGGGAAAAAATAACGTGTAGATAACAATCTTAAATAGCAACATGGCTAATGTTCTTTCATCCACATTTTCTACTCAGAAGTAGTCTCAGGAACAACTTGCTTAGAATTTCATGTGTCTTTTTAGTTTAAAAAAGACATACCATTTCCGTATTCTTTAGCATTTGTAGAATATGCCAGCACCTGTGTAATGAAAAGTACGTGGGGTAGTCTGAAGAAAGTAATCTGCTTTAAACTTCAGAGGCTTGATACAAACAGGTAAATTATGGTATATACCAAAACTGAGCAGGATCAGTGGATTTGCTTTAGCTATTAATTTATACTACAAATATGGTATGAGCTGAGAACAACTTTCATTGCTAAAGTAGACTTTAAGTCTACTAAAGTCTTCCCTTCCCAAACTAGATGGGCAGTCTGACCTCTTCTGAAATCAGTGGGAGTTTATCAGCTTCTTTGGGTTTGGATTTGGTGAGTTCACACAGAATCAGGGTTGGGTAGTTACTTGCAAACATGAAAGAATGAAATTGACCAAAGTACAATTTAAAATAGAAAGCTGCTTCGCATGAGAGAGGAAAAGGGGCTGTGCATTGCAGTATATACTGAATCAAAACTGTGTAAATATTTTTCTTTATATCTAACAATACCTATTTAAACATTTCCAGTGGTAGAGAATCCTATACCATATTTGGAAAGGTATTCTTTGGTTAATTATCCTCACTATTAAATATTGCACCTTATTTTGAGTCTAAATTTGTCTGGTTTCAACTCAGCCTTTTTGTCTGCTAGATTGAAGATCTCTCTGTTATCAAGTTTCTTAACCACTTGGGGGAGATGTATACAGACTGTGGTCAAGTTGCCTTTAACTTTACGTTAGATAAATTAACTAGAACAGGCTCAAGGAGCTCAATCTATAAGGCATGTTTTCCAGTCCTTTAATATAGCTTTTCTCTAAACCTTCTCCAGTTTATCAACATTCTTGCTGAGTTAAAGATAAGAACAGGACATGGTATTTTAAAGGCAGCCACATGAATGCCAGATACAGAGGTGGTGTAGCCTACTTGAGATTTCCCTGTTTATACCTGCAAGGGTCATATTGGCCATTTTGAAATCCTAACATTTCATGGAAATCTTGTAGGATTTGGTAAGTAGCCATTTGGCAGCACAACTGAAAGATGTACCTTTTGTAGCAGCCATTGTTTGGTAAGTAAATTTTGTGTTGCTTGGGCAGTTTTCACTGCATTGGAACCTGTAGTTCCAAACAGTGTAGTCAAGGAGTTGAGTGAATTGTCTAGGTTAGGGCTTGGCAACCTTTTGCTACAGTGGGAGGTCATGGCCTGCAAGTTTCCACCCCCTGGAACAGCCAGCTACCCGGGCTTGCTTTTTCGCATCCCCTTGTTGAGGGTGAGTGCATATATAGTGGAATAATAGGCTGTTTAACAGAGGGGAGTACTGCAGAGATGGGGTGGCATGGCACAGCTCTGTGCTAGTTGGGCAACTGAGTGGGAAGAAATGCAAGAGTCACTCATGAAGCCATAAGAAGAGTAAGAGGGGATGTGACCCTTCGATTTAGTAAGGATGGCACTGTTTTGAGACCCCCTGTTTTGAGTGCTGTTTTGAGTAGTTGGTGCAAAATGCATTAACAACGTTTGGAGCAGAGCCTAGGCCTCCCTTCCTCCCAGGGGGAGTGTGCTCCTCCCTGGGCTACAGACTTAGGCTGCCTCTTGCTTGCTGTTCTTCTATACTCATGACTCTTGTTGCGGGTGCTTTCCACCTAGTGGCCCAGCTTCAGCTAGAGGAATGGGAGTATTCAAGCCAGCCCAGTCTATAGTAATAGCTTATAAACAATTTTCTAGGAAGTGGGAGTTGTTGGGTCAAACCCCTTCAGGCTTAAGGGTCACAGTTCCTACACTCCTGTGCGAAACATTTCCTATTGGCTGCTTGTCTTATTGGCTGCCTGTGCTCCAGAGGTGTGGAAGGCTGTTTATCGAGAGAATGGAAGAGCAGTGTAGAGTAGGATTGCTCTCCTAAGCTGATATGTACTTATTTTTGGTTAAGGAGCTATGTAGGCTTAGACATTAAGAGGGCAGAATATGATCTGGATCTTGCTTCTCGGTGACCCCCTTTGTCATGAGCAGGGATCTGAGTTTTCAGTTTCCCATGGAAACCATGAATTTCTCCTTTTAAAGGGGAAAATCATGGATTTTCCCCTTTTAAAAGAGAAAAATGTGGGAAACCACAAGTTTCCCCTTGCAGGCTGGCAGAGTTCCAGCATGCAAGGGGCTGCGTGGGGCTGGGGGGAGCAGGAGGAAGGCGATCAGAGGAAGGGGGCACCTACCTACTTGCACATGGCTGGCAATACAGCGGGGCAGCGTGCTGGAGAGCAGCTCCCACAGCTCCCTGCAGGTAAGTCTATGGGGGGCATAGGTGATGTATGGGAACTGGGGGAGAACATGGGCGACGTGTGGGAAGATTGAGGTGGCGGCTGTCATTGAGCCCACACAGTGAGGGAGGAAGTGGGGCAAGGTTGGCTGCTGGGGGGTTTCCCGGGGGTGGGGGGTGGGAGTGGGGGCAGGCTCCTTGCTGCTGTGTGCACTCATGGGGAGGGGGCACTGTGTCAGGAGGGAGGCATGGGGGGGTACATGTTCATCTCTCCCATCTCCCCAGTTCTGCGCCCATAGTGGGGCACAGGACTGCAGCCTGGCCAGACAGGCACTAGGAAGGAGCTGCTTCTGCAGCCCACTGGATGGGACCTGGAGTGGGGAGATGGAGCAGGGCAGCGAGGCTCAGTGCTGCTGCCGCCACAAGGATTGCCATGCTGCCATGGTAAAGTGCCCCCTGCCCACCTGGCAGCAGCAGGGAAACACAAATCTGCAGTGCTGCGGTGCATCACTTTGGCAGTGTGACTGGCATGGGGTTCTGGCAGTGGTGGCAGCACAGAGTTGTGCCTCTCCCCCACTGCTGCCAGGCAGCAGGGGGTGGTGCCTCACCTTGGTGGCCAGGGTGGTGCGGCACTCCCTCCCACACCAGGTCCCACCCACTGGACTGCCTGATGCTGATCCAGCAAGGCTGCAGTCCAGTGCTCC